AACCGATTCCCTTCACTGATCTCATTCTGACGTTAATCTCTTACCCTTGGTGTTTGCACGTCAGAATCCCACCCCAACCACCTCCTCCACTGAACCGCTGAATCCGAACGTATTCCGACTCTTTCTCTGGCGAATTGGCCTTGGTTATCCCTCGCAACTGTTCTACCTATCACACTATTCCATTTTTGTCGCCTTCTAGGCTTCCTCCCGAGCTGCCTCCCGTGGCTCTATTTCTCTGCATTCCCTTCAATCAGGACCCATGACCCATCCCCTCTTGCAACCAACGTTTGATGCAATCTGCCATATACTGCTCTCTTGAGGATTAGACGGGACGAGGTCTGCCGCACTGCGGCGGCCGTGAGCGACGCCTTGGGTTGAATTGTTACAGTTGTTGCTGTCCCGAATACAACTTTCCAATTATGGCGCCCTTCTTTGGCAAGTTACGAGGCAATGCGGTAGGCTCTCCCCTGATATCTCTGTTCCTCCTTCGGCATATCTAACCCGCGCGCGATTGTCCATGATACTCTAGGGATCTGGCCCGCACAACTCCGCATCCTCACCCACCAAGAAGGAGAAAGAAATCCCTCCCACACCTTTGACGCCGCTTGAGAAGATGCTTCAAGATGCTGGCCCGTTGCGGAATGACGGCAGTGACAAATTTTTCGGAATGGAAAACGTGAGTAGTCATGGAGTCTTCGTCGTGCTTTATAGCAGTTGGGAAAGGCAGGATGGACTAATATTTATTTCGATCTTCCTTAGGCTCAGTATGGAAATACCTGGTGAGCTCCTTACCCTGGCTAAGGACTGAGATGCAATTTCTCCCTTCCACAGCTGACAATGTTAGCTACTGTAATTCGATTCTTCAATGCCTTTACTACTCAGTCCCCTTTCGAGAATCCGTCATCAACTACCCTAGACGTTCCCCAATAGAAACTCTCAACGACTCCCTCGCGAAGAATTTACATTATCCAGACACAAATGCACAGACAGAGGATGCACATCAGGCTAAACAAAAGACTTCCGGTAACCCTGCCGTCAAGTCAGGTATATCTCCCCCAGCGCAGCCACAACGGCCAGAGGATAAGGAATCGCCCGAATACAAGAAAAAGGTCGCAATCAACACACTTCCAATCCTGGAAACAAGGAATAATGCTACAAGTTATGGCATGCAAGAATCTCTATTTACCTCCCTGAAGGACATTTTTGAGGCCGTCGTTGCAACCCAAGAGAGGATAGGTGTCATCCGGCCTTTTAGTTTCCTGGAAGTGCTTCGACGAGAACATGAGATGTTCAGAACTGCCATGCATCAAGACGCTCATGAATTCCTTAATCTACTGCTAAACGAAGTGGTAGCCAATGTTGAAGCTGAAGCCAAACGTTCACCACCACCAGAGGTGGATCAGCAGTCGGAAAGCGGAGAGGCATCGGAGCATGCCACAACCACAGGGTCTGTAGCAACGACTCTAACAGCATCCAATGCTTCCAAGTCACCGAACACCACACGCTGGGTACATGAGCTATTTGAAGGGACGCTGACCTCCGAAACCCAATGCCTCACATGCGAAAAGGTATCACAGCGAGATGAAGTCTTTCTGGATCTATCCGTCGATCTTGATCAGCATTCGTCAGTAACGTCCTGTCTGCGAAAGTTTTCAGAAGAGGAGATGCTCTGTGAGCGGAATAAGTTTCATTGCGATAATTGCGGAGGGCTTCAGGAAGCTGAGAAACGGATGAAGATTAAACGGCTACCGCGGATATTAGCACTGCACTTGAAACGCTTCAAGTACACTGAGGACTTGCAACGACTCCAAAAGCTGTTCCATAGAGTGGTGTATCCCTACTATCTTCGATTATTTAACACAACAGATGACGCAGAAGATCCCGATCGCCTCTACGAACTTTATGCCGTGGTCGTCCATATCGGTGGTGGGCCCTATCACGGCCACTATGTTGCTATCATTAAAACGGAAGATATGGGCTGGCTGCTTTTCGACGACGAGATGGTGGAACCAGTCGATAAGAATTACGTCCGCAACTTTTTTGGAGACCGGCCAGGTTTGGCTTGCGCATACGTACTCTTCTATCAGGAAACGACCTTTGAAGCGATGCAAAGAGAGCAGGAAACCGAAGGCATGACTGCTGCAGGTCGAGCATCTGTTGACACCAAGGATTTGGTATCTAGCTCATATCACAAAATGAACGGGTCTGCGGCTAGCTCCAATGAAATCAATCGTGTACATACGATCATCCCGGCTACAGAACGTCAACCAATGTCACCTCTAAAGCGGGCCCCCACGGCACCTCAACCTTCCACGCATCCTGAGAATATAGCTCCACTGACACCCACGACTTCCCCCTCACCCCTTAATTCTAAGAAGAGCGATATTCTTTCGATAAATGAGCGATTAAAGGAGGAGAAGGAGCGGAAAGCTGCAGAGAAGGAGAAGGAAAAGAAGGGAAAGGGAAAGGCGGAGAAAGAGAAGGAGAAAGCCGAGAAGCAGAAACGAAAGGAAACAGAAGCTCTATTAAAGGAGGCTAAACGACAAGATGCCGAACTCAAAGCTGCATTGGATGCCAGGAAGGCTTCCAAGGCTGAGGAGGTTCGTCGCAATGGCACAGCTACTCGTAACGCGAAGGAAAACGGTGTGTCTACAGCGTTCACTGGAGGCCTAGGGCGGTTCAAGCTGGGCAGTAGGAGTTTGAGCCATGGCAGATTTTCGAAGGATAAAGAAAAGGCTTCTAAATCCTCGCTCGAAATGCCGCCGATACCCACTATTCCATCTCCTACTCCTGCCCCCTCCCCCGCTCCCATGCCAGTATCAACCCTGGATCCCGTCATCGCATCCCCTGCTGCAGACGTTTACCCCTCCAACAATTGGCCTCTGAAAGAAGAAGTGTATTCCACATTTACCGAAGTCACCACCCCCATAAACGCTCTCAGTAACCACACGAATGTACGGCAATCCGAAGAACTCCACAATAGCAGCAATCACAACAGCTGCAACAGTAACCCCCGCAATGACGACTGCCAGGGAGAGCCAATAAAAAAGGCTGGTTCCAAACGGAGCAGGTTCAGTTTACGGAAGATATCGTTCAGCGTGATATAAAGTTTTTGTCATATAGCTCAGCCCATGTTAACCCAGCTCGGGTCTCAACTCAGCTGAATCCAGATTTGGGCTATTTTTCACTATTTTTCTCACTCTTAACCGGGCTGACATTTATTTATTCACAACGCGAGTGTTGGTTTTCCTTTTCTTGTCAATCAGTCTCTTTCCTTTTTATGCATACGAGACCTGCATCCATCTGCTATATTTAATATTTCCCTTAATTCAACTGAACAAAAGCAAGTTGAGAAAAAGAGAGAGAAGAGAGAGATAGAGGTTATTCCTTCTCTTGTTTATTCAATATAAATGTACAGCCCTGCCTTGTTCTTCTTGCATAGAGCGTTTTCTATATTTCCTTTTTTTTTTTTTTTCTTTTTGCCTCTCCCTCCTGAGTGATTGACCAACCGGACCTTCCTGTCGTTCATATTGTTCTCGTGCCCCTTTGTTTCTTTCGTGTAGAAATTTACTTTTCCCATGTAACTTTGACACAACCTGGTTTTTATCTGGCCCGACTTGGTCTCCCTCAAGCATTTGTTGAACGGTCCGTTCCGTATAGTTTTGAATTTTGAATTTTTGAATTATCTATCTTTGCTCTTATCCTATTTGATATGTCTTCTTGTTCATAATGTTATTTATAATGTTATCCTGGACGCAGGAAGGAAGGAAGAAGAACTCTCAATATTCACTCTTATTTACGTTCGTATACTTTGCTTTTAAAGCGAGAGCTGTGCCTCTGTCTTCTACCTAACTTACCTGACTGCATTGATTTCATTCTCTTCTCCGTATCCACCTGGATAATTTTCTAGGCATTCAGTTGCATATGTGTTGTCCATGTTCACATCCTCCGCCCCCTCCTTTCCCATCCCACTACTTCAACAAGCGCCCAGATGCATATTGATTAACTGAATGATAATAACACATATATGCATTCACTCGACAATTGATAAAGGCCGAATGAGTTTCCTTCTCTGCTTATCACTGAGGTTCTTGATTTACCTAGCTCTATACTTGTCATTTCGGTGGCTATTTGTGTTTTTGTTGCTCTTTAACTCTCATGTGCCGCAAGAACGTAGAAGAAGAGAATGAAAAGGAGCGCGAATGGAGTGTTGCGGTTTGGTATAGCCTCATATGTACATAGTACACGCAGGCGTCTCTACATATAACCTCGCGCTCTGATTGATTGTAACCTATCTGCATTTTCTTTTCTCTCCGTGCTCTATCGTACAAACATGTACTATTGTATTTGTACATGCAGTTGGAATTTATAACTGAAACTCAAGAGTTAAAAAGGGGCAAGGCAACAAAGTGTTATCCCTTGAGGGGAGTGTATGCAAACAGTGTATCTGGTTCTCTTCACTTCTTGGGATGCGTATTTACAAGTGGCCGGGGTTACGGTGGGCACCAACCGACCTTTGACCACCTTTTTTTTTATCTTGAAAATGAAAGTGTGCAAGTGCGCCGGGCACTTCTTCGCGCTCCATGAGAGGACAGCGTGATAAACGGAAGTTTTTGTAGGTAGGGTGAGACGATAAAAGCGGGTGGCAGATGGATATAATGACAATGGATGAACAGGGATTTGACGTTTAAAAAACAAAAAAAAAAAAAAAAAAAAAAAAAAAAAGGACAAAAAGCAAGAAAGCTCGTATATAATATATTTCTATGAAACTCTTTTGTGCCATCCTTACACTCCTTCAGCGACTCCTCCGCTGTTTCTTTTATCCTAGGACGATTTCGTAAATTATGACTATGAGGTTTATTGCGATGAGGGGTACTGATTTCCGGTACGAGCAAGAGGTAGATATGTCAGTTTTTCGTTTCCTCATAACAGATGCTGAACGAGAAGGAGAGCAAATATATATATATATATATATATATAAAACGGAAGCAAATAGGCGTCCAACGTACTTCTCATCACCGTCCGCACGCTTGCTATCAGATTGACGGATTTCGCTTTGATACTTGCGTTGTCACTCACGGTACCGAAGCCGGGTTCATATTGTGTACGGCCCCAGCCAACTATGTAATTGAGCGTGTCAGTCGGCTCTGCTTATGTGCATGTAAAAATCGCATATATATTCTTGTTTGAAGGAGTTGGGAATATGTGGATGGTGTATGAGAATCATCCGAAGTGAAGTGCAACGGCGACTTACTGCGGGCGAGAAAGCGGTCTTCCGAGAGGATGGCGATAGCGTTTATTATCAGGATGATGACTGGGGGGGAAATCGCTATTGTGTTAGCAGGTGGATCTCTGTCATATGTGGGAATATGTATTGGACGCTGGGGGTTATATCTGGGGCTCCTGACGAGCTCTGCAGGGACGCAACACACGCACCATACAGGAGCTTCCCCAGACCAAAGAGCAACATGGTGTCCTTTTCGCGGCGGACGGCGGGTTATATTCACATAGATACAGAGCTGATTCGGGGACGACGACTGGGCTCTCACATCAAGAATGAGGAGGGGTGCAAGAGGGTGGGTTGTGGATAGCTGGTTTGGTGAAGGATTGAGGCGTGATGCTGACTGTGTTTATTTGGTCAGTTTGAAGCTTGGGGTGTGAAATCCGGTGAACGACAACTCGAAATCAAACTGCTGCCGCAACCAAGTTGAACGTTCCAAGCGGGAAACAAATGAATAATGTTCCTCGAGATAGAAAATGGCGAAGCTGACAGGTGAGCGATGTGTATCCAAATATATAGGATTGTCCTATAGTATAAATAATATTCATCATCATCATCATCATTATCATAATCATCGTTAACTCCCTTGCTCCAGATTGGCTCCTCTTCTCGTTGATTCCCGGCCTGGTCCTCCTCCACCTCTACGTCTCCCCGTATACAAAGGTCGAGGAATCCTTCAATATCCAGGCCATCCACGACATATTAACCTACGGGATACCCACCAAGGATATCCCAAACACACTCCGCGCCGAATATGATCATGTATCGTTCCCCGGTGCCGTTCCGCGCACCTTCGTAGGGGCATTGGTTGTGGCGGGTGTAGCGCGGCCGGTTATATGGCTGAATTCGCAGATTGATAGACAAATGCTGGGTACGAAAAGCTATGTTGACTGAATATATATGTCGCGGTGTCTCGCGATAAATGCTATTTTCCAAGTTCTTCCTTGTAGGACATGTTTGGGCTGACTGGTCTCAAAGTGCGCGGTGTGCTGGGCGCCTTCAATGCCCTGACGCTCATCTCGTATGCAAAGGGGGTGCGGCGGGCATTTGGCAAAGACGTGGCTGTCTGGTATATTTTATTTCAAGCCAGTCAGTTTCATGTAATATACTATGCCTCTCGAACACTTCCAAACATGTTCGCATTCGGAATCAGTATGTGGCTCCACCCATGTCAATTTATTTTGTCCACGATATCACTCTGAACGCGATATTCTCTCAAAGCTACATTGGCATTGCGCAACCTTCTCCCCGAATCCACCTCGACAGTTCAACACTCCCGCTCGCACAAGAGACACCGACTGTCTCTCTATCTCATTACCGTCTCTGGGATAATCTTCCGCTCAGAAATCGCCCTCCTCCTCGCAACCACGACGTTATACCTCTGGGCAAAAAAACGCATAACCCTCTTCAGCGATATCCTCCCCGCCGCCCTATCTGGCCTGACAGTCGGGCTTCTCCTCACCATCACGACCGACTCCATTCTCTGGCAAAGTTTTCCGCTCTGGCCTGAACTCTCCGCCTTCAAATACAACGTCCTCTCAGGCCAGGCCTCCGCTTGGGGCACCTCCCCCTGGCACTTTTATTTTACAAACGCGCTCCCTCGTCTCCTCCTCAATCCCCTCACCTACACCCTTTTCATCCCCTTCTCCATCCTCCAGCCGTCCACCCGCCACACATCGATCTCCCTCCTTTTCCCTCCCCTCACTTACATCCTCCTCTACAGCCTCCAGCCACACAAGGAATGGCGTTTCATCCTCTACTCAATCCCTCCGCTAACCGCCGCCGCCTCACTGGGTGCCGCGTACGTCTGGACCCACCGTACAAAATCACCCTTCTACCAACTCCTCTCCCTCGCCCTCTGTCTCTCCACCTTAGCAACATTTGCCATCTCTACGTTCCTCCTCCTGCCAATCTCTGCGGCAAATTACCCAGGTGCCCACGCCCTAAACGCTCTCCACAAACACCACCTTAATGAGAACAACAACGGCGCCAGCAGCACCCTGCTAAATAAAGAACACATCAGAGTACACATGGACAACCTCTCCTGCCAGACGGGTATAACCCTCTTCCTCCAAAAACCAGCGCCAAAGTCACCGCTTATCGTCCTACCCGGTTCCCCTGATGGAAAATACCCAGAGATCCGCAGCGGGACGCAGGCGTGGGTGTATGATAAGACGGAGGCGAGGGATATTGATGCGATGAAAGATCCCAAGGCGTTTTGGGATAGGTTTGATTATGTTCTTGTGGAGGTTGGTGCGGATGGAACAAGTGATAGGCCGGGTCGCTGGGAGGCTGTTCAGGAGATTAAGGGGTTTGGGGGAGTGAAGGTGCTGGGGCCTGGGGATGAGGGTGGGGAGGAGGTCGAAGAGGCGGTTTCAAGGCGGTTGTTTGGTGATGCGGGCTTGAAGGGATGGAGGTGGGCTAAAGGGGTGGTGAGAAGGTATATTTCTCGGGGTTGGTGGGTGGAGGTGCAAATGGTGCCGAAGATTAGGGTTCTAAGGCGGCTTAGATGATTCCTTTATCTAACGGAATATTTCATATTGCTATGATTGCCAGTTTAAGATGTATATTTTTATTATTATTTATTTATTTATTGAATCCAGAGTTATTTGTAGATCGGGTGTATGAAATGGGTTTTTGGGATTTACTTTGCTATTTGAGACTTGTGCCATTTCCAGTGATCATGTAACTGGATATAGAAAGCCATTGGAAACAGAAAACAGAAAAAAAAAAAAAAAAAGATGATTCTTAGACTACCAGTGAAAGGCCTACTTGGGATATATTGAAAAAAAAAAAACCATGGAAGAGACAAATAGGGCTGCAACAAAGCAATAAGCAGGCCAGAAGGATGTTATCTCAGATAACTTTTGAGTATCAGAAAAAAATCATCCACCAATCCCATTAGAAAGTTCAAAAAAAAAAAAAAAAAAAAAAAGAAAAAAGAAAAGAAAAGAAAAGAAAAGAGAGAGAGAGAGAAAGAAAGAAAAACCAACCTCTACCCTCCCAATCCCTCCAACCTAGCCTCCAACCCCCTAACCCACCCCCCAACAACCTCCACATTGCCCCTCATCGCCTCCTCAGCCTCCCTCACCTTCCCCTCCACAACCCCCAACCCCTCCCTCCACATCTCAATCTCCGTCTTCATCTCTCGCTGCCTCTCCTCCAACGCATCCAAATCCTCCGCAGCCCTGGTAGCGCCCGCGTGGATCGCGCGTAGCGAGCGCAGCCTCTCCAAGACGCTGGGGAGAAGAGGGTGGAGGGATGTTATGGTTGGTAAAGTTGTGTACAGCGCTTGGATCTTGGCAGCTTGTTCGCTGGCGGCTGAGTCGGTTTCGGTGGCGGTTAGGGAGGTGAGGGAGGGGGGAGCTTCGGTTGTTGCAGTTGTTGTTGTAGCTGTTGTTATGTTTGCTGTGTTTGCTGTGGTTGAGGTTGGATGATCGGAGGTAGCAGCCGCGATGCGGGCGGCGATGACTGCGCGGGCGGCTTCGGTTGCACGGCGGCGGGCGGAGGAGAGGGCGTCGGCATCCGCGGTTAGTTTGCGGATGCGAGTTGTTAGAGCTTCGATGTGCGGGGTTGTTACGGTTGAGTGCGCTTGGGAGGGGCCAGCAGGGATAGAGGCGGCGGGTCCTGTTAGAGTGCTAGTGAGGGTGGAGAGTTGTAGTGAGAGGTGGGAGAGGGTTGGGAGGATGGGTTGGGGGCCAATGTTGTCGTCTGAGGAGTGGAAGATTGGCGTGTTAGGGATGCCCAGGGCGGCTTCGAGGAGAGTAAGACGGGCGTCGAAGGCTGCAGCGTTGGAAAGGAGGCCTACTGGAACGTCAGATTGGGAAGAGCCGTGCAGCGCTTCATTTCGTTGCTTTGCGGCGTGGACGGCGAAAGGGATGTTGCCTCCTAGTTTTTGAGAAAGTATCTCCTCCGCCGTGACGGGGATCGCACCGTCTCGTGAGAACGTATGGAGGCTATCCAGAGCCCGGCTGAGCTCCAGCACGCCGTCGTCCAGTTCCCCCTTGTCGTCGTCCTCGCCCGGGTCATCCGCGCCAGCGCTATCTGACTGAGCATTCCGCTGGGCCTTTCGAGTAGCCAATTCTTCCTTCAATTCCTCCGCTTCTCTGCGCAACCTAGCCAGTTTTCTCTCTAGAGACTCGTCCTCCTCGTCACTGACATCTCCCAGGACTTCTGTTCCGTCTTCTCGCCGCTGTCTCCGCCGGCTCATAGCCTTGTACGACTTCCGTCTGGAGGCAATGCTATCTGAAAAATCAACATCGCGAGCATCTAGACGGGCTGGGAGGAAGTGTGATCGAGCCTGGTCCGGCTGCAGACGTTGACGGTCAATATCCGGGTTTGCGGGCTCATCTTGGAAGGGGGACGAGGAGCGGACGGTGGCAGTCTACGCGAGAGAGTTAGACGTCGTTTTTGTCCATTGGGAATAAAATACTGGACGTAGCTAAAATTGGGGCAACTTACAGCTAGAGTAGAACCGTCTGTGAGCTCAGGAGTCTCGTAGATGTCTGGAGCTATATCCTGGTTTGCGGGAAAAATATAAACCACGGTTAGCTAACTGATAGAGGCACTTGAAGCTGTGCGATCAGGGGCCAAAGGATGGTTGCAAATTGGGTGTTCGCACTAGATCGGGAAGCCCGGCGTATTTCTTATTGAAAGCCATTGCTTTGCGTGTGGGGCATATGCCTATCTCCTCTGTTGTGTCCGGACCCTCCTCCGTCTGTCCTGAAAGTATAGATTCCGTCGATGTATTGCGCCGTTCGACTTGGATTGATGACAGCCAGAGGGGCGGGCTCAGGCTCCGGCTGGTCACGTGATAGTACTTATGTCAAACCCTGCTTGCAGCATAGCTAACAGGAAACAGCAGCGAAAAGGGGAACTATTTTCAACATGAGGATGATGATGATGATGATGATGATGATGATGATATCATCTGATAATATCTGATAACTACTACCCTGAGAAGGGGGCTCAGAGCTTTTTTGCAATCTGGTGGGAATTGGGGTTTGCACTGGGTGGAATGTGAATCTATTGTTGCCTCGTCCAGGGTGTCCAGTACGACATAGTTCACTAACTGCCAACTACGGTTAATTGTTGGGTGTTAAGCTATTGCTCGCATTTGGATTCTGGGATTCTGGGAGTGTATCATGAAGGATTTCGGATTTCTCAGTCTTCTGTCCTTGCAATCTTATCTGATAATTAAGGGGGATGAACAGAAAAGGCTTAGTTAGACTCAGCAGTCGGATGGTTTTACCTCCAACTTACCAGATACAAAAGCAGGTCTCATTGCCTGTCATACTCGACCTCCATCGGCTTTTTCAGCAGTCAACGCAGAGGAGAATACTCAGGGTTCTGGCTGGAAACTATGTCAAGAATTGAAGGCTTCTGACTCGTTTTCTATAAAATTGCTGAATGAAAAATTAAAAATCAATTTCTCCTCTCTTTTCTTATTCTCCTCCCCTCGCCCCACTTTACCCTCTTTTTTTTCTTCCTCTTGTGGATAAGATTTCTTCGAGTGGCATAGCCACAAGCAAGGAGATACAATACAGCAAAAGAACAGAACATGAAGTGAGATGAGCAGCATGGCGTGTGTGAGAGAGGGGGAGAGGGGGAGAGGGGGAGAGGGGGAGAGGGGGAGGGAGAGTGTCTCCTCCAGAGAGCAAGGTCTATAGTTCCCATACACAATGAATGCTGGGTACGGGCGATTGAGACAATAAGTAATGCGTGATACAGCAAGGCGGCTGTGTATATTCACTCTTGTGGCTGGCAATGCGGGCAGTCCGACAAGTCAGTCAAGCACTCGATCTGTACACGAGTTAATGCCCAGGTGGTCCCTGGATTGCACGTTCAACCAGATGCATAACTAGCTGCTATCCTCGAGCCCCGGAGCGACGCTCTCCCTGCCATGGAGAACTAAACGGCCACTCCTCCGAAGCTCTGTTTCAGCTGAGGGAATTCTAGATAGCCGCCCTTCAAGAGGACTCTGGGGAGGACGGACTGAGTGCCGGTGGTATGGTATGGTGCACCTGTGTAAACTAAAAATAGCCACAGGATACGACCTCTCCCGCTGCAGTGAACCTTGCAATCGGCGAGATCGGTGTAGCTATCCCTTAAACTACATGTAGAACCACATAGTTGCCAGAGTGGGTGTCGTTGTGGATATGGATTCGGGAGCAGATCACAGGGTGCGAGGCCATCCATGCAGTGCGTAGTTGATAGCCCGCTCCGACAATACACCCAGAGAATGCCATAATGCCAATCGTATTCAGATGGGGACCGTAAGAGATTTTTAGTCGGGATAATAGTTGGGGATAGTTATTTAGGCGGCCGTAGGTACTTTTTAAGGGCTCTACCAGAAGTGCGCCGAATTCTTTCACCAACGCTCGGCTCAAGCATGTGCCTCCAAGGGCTCCCCCGGATGTGTCCCCGCGACTTTACACATGATTGCTAGCAGTGATTAGCGCTGCTGTGCATCAATAGAGATTGGTAGCTGATTCGACGACAGATCCCATTTCCGAGGCTCAACTGGAAGCAATGGCAGACACGATTACATCCCAACCGTGGGAAGACGAAGCAGCTTGGGTTGCATCGGGATCCGGTCTCCCTGATCTTTTGTATATATCAACTGCGAATAACCCCCCCCCCCCCCCCCCCTCACCCGGGGGCCGCATCTTCATCTTCATCTGCAGATTCTTTTCTTTTTTGTCCGTTATTTGATTAAACTTTACTGTGCCTCATATAATAGTAATCGCCCAATTCTCTATTTCATCCACAATACGTCTATACCACCGCCCCGTACACAATGGCCGCCCCAGCTGAATCCACTATCCAGGACCTCAATGGCACCTGGGTCATTGTAATACCCAATTAAATAAACCAAATTACCAAAAAAATAAGAAATGCTAACATGGGAATCTAGGACAAAACCCTTTCGAACGACCCCGACGCCATCTTCAAGCTGGTTAGTTCCCGGCACTCCATTTGAATCCACCAATACCCACCCAACACTTCACATGCCCCAAAAAAAAGCAGCAAAGAAAAGAAAGAAAATATATATATATATTTATATAAACGAAACATTACAACTCGAAGTGACTATTTCAAACTAACCACGCCCACCAACAAACAGCAAGGCCTGTCCTGGCTAACCCGCAAAGCCATCGGCATCGCCACCATAACCCTCAAAGTAACTCAGTCCAAAAACCCCGACACAGGCGACGTGACTCTCGACGTCGCCCAGCTTCTCACAGGCGGCCTGAAGGGAACCTCCGAACACCGCGTCCTCAACTGGTCCGAAAAGCCGCACCAGGACCACATCTTCGGCAGCGTCATTGGGCAAAGCCGCTTCGTCAAGGCGGGCGATGCGGACGCGGACGGCAAGCGACGACCTGCCGTCGAGGTGCAGACGGAAATTAGCGGGGACGACGATGGCACGCAGGGCGAGGCGGTGGCGAAGTTTCTGAGGGGCGAGATTCTGGCGAATGGCGATGCGACGGACGGGTTTGTGGTTGATGCCGCCAATGACTATTTTATGCAGAGTTGGGTTAGGAGTCAGGAGAGTGGGTGGACGGGTGAACAGGTCTGTTTTCCATTTACGTGTGGCACGCATTTGACTATGCTTCCTACGGATTTTTGCTGTTGCTTACTTAGATGCTGCAAGCCGGCCTCGCTAACATGGACGTTTTTCTTAACCTATATAGATCTGGGGGTTCGAGATGGTTGATGGTGTCAGACGCCATACACGCCGCATCGTCGTTGCTAAAGACGGTCAGGTCGAGAAGGTCAGGCTGGTCTATACCTTCGTTGACCGCAGCACCAAGTAGACGGGCATTCTGTTAAAAGTTTATAGCCAGTTTTATGATACCAGGGGATGTGTTTATATATATATATATACGTTAATAAAGTGCAATATATCCCAATTGTTGATGGATGGAGTTGAGATCTCAAAAAGATGACCCTTGTTTCCTCGTCGTTTTGTATCGGTGTTGGATGCGATAGAGATCAGCGCCAAAATTTCTATAAGATGACACTGTTCTAGCAAGACATGCTTTTCGCTCTCCCTAATATCAAAGTTACTCTCTCACATTTCATAGTGGAATATTAATGTCCAAAATCTGCAAACTGAACTAATAAGAGCCCCCTGACCGTAGATCATTCTTATTGCACCATATTTGCAACATTCTGCGTGGATGGAATAAACAGAAAACACTCTTCTACGAACAATATAATTGTTTTCAATTTTTCATTCTTCATATTTTTTTTTTTTTGTTCTCCTGCACTGCCTCTCCAAAACCCCCTTTGCCGTATACGAGGCATATATACAACGGTATATATATTCGTCTGGCTCAGGTATGTCGGGGCATATTAACATGTGCCTACACCATCCGAAACGAACATCACATTCATTCGGAAGCATGTTAGCATTGTAGTGAAATGTACATCCAATCAAAAATAACATCAAGTTATGTATCTCTTATCAAAAACAGTTTTTGGGAAATATATATAGAAAGCAAAACTAACATCACATATATATGTTATATTGCAAAGGGTCCAAGAAAACACTAAGAAGGGGGTAAAACAAAAAGCGCGGGAGGGAAAGGAAAGAAATTAACTATGCGTAGGCATCACGACGCTCGCCTTTGTATTAACCGCATCCTCACTGCGCCACAGACTTGTGACAGTCTTCTGTTGTGTGTAGAATTGCAAGCCGGGCTTGCCATAGAAGGTGTTCGCGCCGCCCCCGGCGATGCTCTTCTTGTTACCTGTGAAGGAGAACATGGGGAGGGGCACGGGGATGGGACTGTTTAATTTAATTGGTGTTAGTGTATATTATCTTTCGTAGTTCACTGGCACACTTGGGGATGTGGGCGGGAATGCTAGTAGCAATACTCTTGCTGTCTGGGGGGAAAACATACACATTAATACCAATCTGGCCCGCCTCAAGCTCGCGCTGGAACTTAGTGGCAGTGGGACCTGAGCAGGTGAAGACAGCAGCGCCGTTGCCGTATTCATTCGCGTTGATGAGGGAGATGGCGTCGTCGATGGTTTCGACTTCGAGGCAGACGAGGACAGGGCCGAAGATTTCTTCCTTGTAGCAGCGCATGTGTGGCTTTACGTTGGTGATGATTGTTGGACCGACCTTGAAGGCAAGGGGGTATTAGGTTAGTTAAATTGCGATGACGAAAGGAGGAAAATGTGAGCTTTCGCTCAGTGGAATTTATTTGCTTACCCAGTTGCCATTGGGGTATTTCGCAGGCTTGTATCCACGACCATCAAGTAGGATAGTAGCACCCTCTTTCTCAGCACTAGCAATGAGGTCCTCAATTCGTTTCTTGCTCTCGGGGCTGATGACCGGTCCCAAATCGGCACCTTCTTCAAAGCCACCGTTGACCTTCAGGGCCTTGGCTCGCTCTGCAATTTCCGGGAGCCACTCCTTAGTCTCCCCAACCATGACGAGGGTGCTCAATGCCATGCATCGTTGTCCAGCAGCACCAAACGTAGCACCAGTGATGGCGTTCAAGGCGTGGTTCTTGTTGCAATCCGGCAAGACGGCGGCATGGTTCTTGGCGCCCAAGTTGGCCTGGACTCGCTTTCCGTTGGCAGACCCACGGGTGTAGATGTATTCACCGGCACGGTTGCTGCCAACAAAGCTGATAGCCTTGATGGCAGGCTCGTCGAGTATGAAGTCGACTGTCTTTGCGGAACCGTGGATGACGTTGATGACTCCGTTGGGGAATCCGGCTTCCTTGGCGAGTTCAGCAAGAATCATGGCAGCTCCGGGATCGCGCTCGGATGGCTTGAGAATCAAGCAGTTGCCGGTGACTGTGGCTGTGGGGATGGACCAGAGAGGAATCATAGCAGGGAAGTCTTGTATAAACGTTAGCAAAAAACCAGGCATATATCGTAGTTTAAGAAGGTAATAGGAAAGCTCGATCACATACTGAACGGGCAAATGGCCGCAACCACACCCAATGGCTCTCTATAGCTCCTCGTCTCCATATCCTTAGCAACCTCCAGCACCTCACCGGTGATCTGTGTGGTGATGCCGCAGGCAGTCTCAGCGACCTGCAGGCCTCTCAGCACATCTCCCTTAGCATCTGCAAAGGTCTTCCCTTGCTCAAGAGTGATGCTAGCAGCCAGACGATCCCAATTTGCGCGGATCAAATTGACGAACTTGAAGATGATCTGCTGTCTGGCCAAGATGCTGGTGCTGCGCCATGCGGGGAATGCCTTCTGGGCGCTCTCGACCGCGGCGCGCAGTTCCGCATCTGTGCTTTGGGGTACGCGGGTGACGAGGTTGTTGGTCGCCGGGTCATGCAGGTCGATCCATGAGGTGGTGCTGGAGGGGAGGAATTTGTTATCGATAAAGTTGCAGGTGTCGACGGGGCTGGAGATGGGTGCATGGCTTGTGGGATAGTTGTCGGCTGGGTAAGGGGCAGATGCGGAGGCTGGGCTCAGGTGCTGGGCTGTGGCGTGTAATCTGCGAACTGCAGTGTGGGATCTAGACGCAGTTGCGGCCATTCTACTAGTTGTGCTGGTTGTGCTGGCTGTGATGCTGCGGGTGGTGGTGAAGGGGATGCGGGGAGAGATCGATTGGCGGGCGGTGAAGGTGGGGATGGACCGAGCAACGGAAAGACGGGCAGCCATAGCAACTAGACGAGGTAATGTTACAGAGAGAGAGAGATAGAGATAAGGTAGAAGGACAGATAGTTATATGAGTGTAGGTATTGTAGTGTTAGGAGGTGAGGTTTGACGTTGAGGATTGAAGTTGAGGTTTGTTCAAATGATGATGGATGATGATGTATGTACCCTGTGGGTTCAGCAAAGCGCTTTGCCGCGGCCTTTGTCAGACTCCGACAAATCCACACTTTTACAGAAATGATACGTTACGTACGCACTTTTGCTCGGTTGAGTTGAACAGGACAGGTTCCATGTTCGCTGCTTGGTGAGTCCCGCGACAGACGGGGGCGGATTTTTGATTCTGCTGTTTTGTTTGTCGAAGCTATTATATGCAAATAATTGATTTAGTACTCTTTAACTATATCTTTCCCCAGGATTTTTCAGCTGTTGGCTATCTATGCTTTCTCTGGCTAAATAACTTTGCCATCTCGTTCTGCTCTGCCCCCCACTCCGAAAAGCTGATATTTTTTGTGGATATGGTCGGTCCATACTTGGAAGACGGCTAATTTTATAACTTCCTGCAATAGTAACTACTTGATGGCAGCCTCGAGCTAGAAGATACAATTTAAAGCAAAATAAAATTAAAATTAAAAAGGGAAGATATATACAAAGAATATACCCATCCAGCCCGAGAACTTTCTCTCATCCTTGGCTTTGGATTACTTCCTGTTTCCAGGCACACCAGTAATTGAAAATAAGCATGAGAGTAAAGGAGGAAAAGAGATTAAATGGAACAGGAAATAGGAAAACGGAAACAGAGGAAGTTGAAGAAAATGGTAAAAATGACAGCAAAAACTCACAAATCAACAGCTGGCTTCTAGCGAAAACAATCGAAAAGGGGAACAAGATGGAAAGAAAAGAGTTCCATTTTTATATGCTTGATACGGCTAAAAAGGAGGCATAGAAAAGAATGAAATCGAGACATGCAAAGACCATTGCGGAGGAACTTCTCCCACGTAAGAAAGGAGAGAAAATGCAGAAGAACAGAACAGAAATTCAGGAATTTTAGGTTATTCTCCTACGGATATAACAAGAAAATAAGTGATACTTCTTCACCTTCACCTGTGCACTTTCATGTCTTGTAGGTGTGGGAATGTTTTATTTAATTTTTTTTTCGGTTCATTTCTTTGCTTCTTTGTTCTGGGCTTTTATATGATTTCCTTGGTTGGCATCAAGGTATCTCTGTTAGGTGGTCGGGAGACATCCTGGGTAGGCTTACAACAACTTTGTTGCCCAGTCCTTCCTCCCACACCTCACCCTCACTCTCACTATTCCTCGCCAGGCGGGTATCTCAAAAATAAAACAACTTACTCATTATTAACCTTGCCCGATCTTCGCGTAGCTGCCCCCTTCACATTATCCGCCGTTGTGCTAACTGCCTCCGCAGCCTTCTCCTTGGCAGCACCATCCTTCTTCTCCTTTCCATCCACCTTTTTCGCAGCAGCGGGTGCTGGGGCAGGACTGCTGAGGCCAATCGCACCGACTATGACGAGGGCGAGAGTGAAGACAAGAGCACCCAGACCTCCAGCGACCTCCGGAACACTTTTGGCTGCCTGCACGGGATCCTTGCGCGCAATGCTGATGAAGAGATTGATCTTCTCACGGACGAATTGTACGGGAGCCTCCTTGAAGCTGACAGAGGAGCTGTCCTTTTCATCATCCTTGGGGCGTTCGGCTTCCTCTTCCGCAACCTCAATGGGGTGTTTGATGTCCCAGGTCTCTGACTTGAGTTTCTGCGCATCTTCGATTGAGTGGCCGATGTAGATGTTGTTGAAGAGAATGTCGTTTTGCATGGTCCAGATTTCGAATCCGATCTATAACGATACCATTTCGTTAGCATATGTAGTCATTACTCTCCATCGTTGTTGTAGTTCTAGAAAACTTACAGCGCCCATAGGTTCGAAGTTAGCGGGAGTCTTGTCTTCGAAATAGTTGGGGTTGGGGATTTTGCGCGGCATCCATGGTCCCTTGTAGGCAGGGTTATCGATCATAGGAGGGATCCATTTGCCCTTGTAGTCTGGGTTTTTCTTCATAGGTACCTCCCATTTGCCACAGCCAGACACTTCGATACACTTGGGGTTGGGAACTGTCGGGGCTGCCCAATCTCCGTCTTCCTCATCATCCCAGTCCTCAGGCTTCTGAGCCTCTGGGTCAGGAATGCTTTCAGGTTCATCATCCAGCCAGTCCTCAGGCTTGGTCGCTTCAGTATCTAAAATCTCGTAGGGCGCATCCTCATCCCAGTCATCGGGCTTGGTAGCGGTGGGATCCGGGATACGAGTTTCATCAACCCAGTCCGCTGGCTTCTTGTCTTCAGGGTCATCAATTTCCCTTTGAGGATTGACAGCGGGGGTAAAGTCTTCCAGCAGTGTGCCATTCTTCACGGTGTCACCGTCGATCAAGATCTGGAAGGACTGATCTGGCTTGACGATCAAGGTATACAGAGTGGACAGCTTGCTGACACGGGCGGCTGGTGGGTTCTTCAGGTGTTTCTCTTCGTACTCGCCAGTCTTTGGGTTCTTGTGTCTGAAGATGAAATGGACCTGTATCGCAGCATATTAATACCACGTGCTTAATTCGGCACCGGATTTGGGGGGGGGGGGGGGAAGGGGGGGTGTGTCGGGAAAACATACTTTATTGGTAACTCCACACTTGTCGGGTCCAAACATGATCACATATGGGGAAGCGTTCGAGAATTCCTCAGCGTGGAGCTTCTTGTTATCCTGGAGAAGTTTCATGTAGGCACCACCGCAATTGAGACCGTCTGTTTATATGTCAGCAATGGAAGAACCACGCGCCAAAAAAGGAGTAGCCAGTGCTGTGACATACTCTGAAGCTTAACTTCATATTGAACCACTAGGGTATTGTCCTTGTTATCGATCTTCTTGGGAAACTTGGCTGAAATGGCATGATGGGCGGCGGCATTCTTGATCACCAAGCCCTTGTCGCCCTTCATGCCGTTGAAGACATGTGGCTCCTCGACCGCCCAAGTTCCAACATAAGCCCAGTCCTCCTCTGATGATGAATCCTGCTTCTTGGCATGAGAGGGCGTCCACCGTGTCTCCCAATCGTCGGTGAATTGCTCGAGGAATGGAGCTTTGAGAGTAGTGGGCTACATGTACGTACGGTACATCGCAAACACAAACGAGGTTAGCTTCTTTCTTCGCAATTGGGGTATGCATAAATTTTTGGATTTTTGGGAGCTGGGAGCTGGGAGCTGGAGGACGTACAGTGAAAAAAGGTTTCTCAATCACGGATGATATGGATGAGGGCTTTCCCTCAACCTCATCCTCGGCATGGACATTGCCAATGAGAGCTATGGAGGTTAGGATAAGCGACGCCAGAGAAGCGTTGAGACGCATTGTGTAGAAGTGCCTCTCTACGAGGATACCAAAGCAAGATTGAAATCAGCAGAGAAAAGGGGGGTGGGTAAGGCGATAAACTACAGGGCAAGAAGATGGGAACGCTGGAACGGGGGGAGGAAGAGAAGAAGCGTGGAGGTGGAGGTTATATGTTATTATATAGAGGGGGAAAAAAGGTTCTCACGGATAGTTGGAGAAGGTTAGTTAAAGGTGGCCTCTTTTGGAGCAAGGAGGTTGGGGTATGGTAAGACCCGGTAATTTTACGGGGACTTGACGGAAGATTGCTTATGACTAAGCGGCTTTGTGGAAAGGCGGTCCTCAAACTTCATCCAATCAGGTGCAGCCCCGTTGCGGAGAAATCTGAAGACGCTGGGAATGTTCGAGAATATTACTGGCTGTGGGGGTTTTAGCCGGTAATAAGGTTGGTATTTTATCCGCAGCTTCATTTCATATTTATTTATAACCTTGGCATTTTCAAAACCCTCTAGGTAATGATACGATTAATTATAATCAAGACAGAGGACCAACCCAACCCAATTCTTTTTATATTCACATTATTCCATACTTGGTATTTGCCATGGTTGCCAGGATATCCCATCTACCAGCTCATGCCAGGCCAGGCCATTGCGCCAAGTCCTAGCTGATTGTCATTCTCATTTCATCGTTTAGAGCACTCCTGAATGTGAGGATTCTGAGGAACCATACCTATGGAGTAATACATTGATATCACATTGACATTGACATTGACATGAAAGCCACTCACCATGTTGTAGAAGAAGATATGGACAATACCACCGTTTTAATTCTCGATAGATCAGCATGTTTCCATTCTGTTTTGTTGAACGCCAACTATCGTGTCACATACTCAATGAAGCAGTTTTGGATGAGGGCTCTTATTGAAATGGCCTTATCTCAACTGCATATGCGGATTGCTTTGGATCAGTATTCATATATACAGGGTAACGCTTATAGTCCGAGATCTCCTAACTTTGGTAACTCTTGATTCCCGCTGGTATCATCCGGTTTAACATCCGGGGAAACTAATGAAAGTTTTAGGTGGTATTAGCTGGAAGATCCTGTTTTGAGATTTGAAATGTTGTTGTCTCGCCCTGTATGACATACACCAATCACGGGGTGCGGTAATCACTTCAAGATCCCCAAAGGTTAACAGGTATGCCAATGGAATTGAACTCGCTTTACCCAATTGTTTAACATGCAGGCTGAGAGGATTGTGTTGATGGGTTTTGCCTCAGTGCACACTGGCTGTTTCTGTCATGAACTTGAAGAAAAGAAGCGGTGCCACTCATTTCTACCTGCGCGCTGATATCCCATACAGTATGAGCATATGGATAGAACGTTCCGTCATCACATATTCTTGTCTCTGGATTGCCATATTATTCCAAATTTTGTACGGTAATTTCAGAACATGGACGTTGATCTGGCTCATGGCTGGCTTCCCGATGGCGTGGTGTTGTTGATTGGGCGGCGACAAGCTTTGGTGGCTACTTAGTGTGGGAGATCTGGCGCAAATCTGAGCTTTTGCTCCCGAACTTTTATTTTTATCACTCTTCAATATCTACAAGTTAAGTGACTGAACAAACGAGATTCCAACCTTCCAACCTTTAAAATGTCAGATATCAAGGATGGGAACAATGACCATCTCGTAGAGTCCGATGACCCCGAGCATCCCGCAAATTTAATCCCAGCGCTCTGCCGCAATTTCTACAGCCATGGCTGGGTAACTGGCACTGGAGGCGGGGTAAGCTGGAAAAAAAAATTCACATTTCAGAGCTCTTGCTATCATATACGATCAGTCCCCCCTCTTCAAAAACTGATCAAGAGCAAATTGTCTCCATCAAATATAGGCTTCTATCAAACGTGACAATCACATCTTCATAGCACCATCCGGCGTGCAGAAGGAACTAATCCAACCCCACAACATCTTCGTCCTCTCCTATCCGACCCCCAAATACCCCCCCTCCGCCCGCCAATATATCCGCAAACCACTCAAGTTGAACCCATCCGCCTGCACACCTCTCTTCCTAGCGGCCTTCGAACGCGGAGCTGGATGCTGCATCCATACACATTCCCAATGGGCGGTGCTTGTGACGCTGCTCGTGGAGCGGGAGAAGGGCCCCGAGGGTTGCTTTGAGATTAGCAACATTGAGCAAATCAAGGGCATCCCTAGAGGCAAAGGCAAGGGCATGATGGGGTTCTATGATACGTTGAAGATCCCTATTATTGAAAATACGGCATTTGAGGAGGATTTGACACAGAGTCTTGAGGAGGCTATGGAGATGTATCCGGATACCTATGCGGTTTTGGTTCGGAGACATGGCATGTGAGTTATATGATATATACTCTATTTACTTTTGATCGTGGCCCAGGTGCGTGCCGGTTCTGTTCGTCGTTCACATTCTGACATCTTTTTTTTTGGTAGATATGTTTGGGGAGACGATGTCGCAAAGGCCAAGACGCAATGCGAAAGCTTGGATTATCTTTTCCAGCTTGCGGTTGAAATGCATAGACTTGGTCTGCCTTGGGTGAAATCGTGATGCGTCGTGGGATTCGGCAAGTGGATGACCAGCTGCATCGCAATTTCTGAGTACACGGCGTTGCGTGAGAAACAAGATGATCGGATTACTGTTTGTTCAGAAATATTACAGTTAAATTTGATGGAGTGATGACATGCTAAGTAACGGCCTATACGAATATTCCCCTTATGCCCATTTCGGTTTATGGAAGGAGAGATATTTGGTGATCGGAATTGTCTGGATATCCTTGACCAGAATTAGACATGGCTTAATACCGTGAACCTCCTATGTGGCAGAGAGGAGGTTATTTTCAACAGAATCCTGTCTGGATTATTTCGGGTGCTTAAAAAAACACAGATATCGGAAATTTCAGGGCACAAATGAGATATCCACAATCTAATCATGATATTTCAAAACTTCTGTACAATGTATCTTTAGATCGGTTGTAGATTCCTTGATATCTAAGATATATGCTTTTTCTCTGTATCAGAATAAAATACGCATCTGTAATTTCGGTATTGTTTGACTCAGTGGGTAAAAATAAGATTACCGTACGGAAACAACATCCGCTGCGCTTGATCCGACTTGGCCCCAGGAAAGCTCGTGCGAAAAGGACGGAACCGACGACAGCGGGAGCTTCAGATAGATGATTTCCTGCACCATCCACATCAACCGCGGAACACTACCGGTTTTCCTGCTGGTTGACTGAAAAACACATTCAATCCGTTTAGTTTGCTCAGCATACTCCAGGTCCTCCGAACTATGGATCTAGAAGGGGGCGACTCGCCGTGGGGTGGTAAGCTAGGCAAACATTTATATACACCTCTATGTAACTAACCTGTCTAACCATGGCATTGGCAGATGTTCCCTCCCAGTCTACTCCTACCGAAGCCACAGAATCTTCTTCTGGTATGCAGTTAATCATCCTCCCCAGTGAACCCGATCGCACCATCAAGTATAGAAATCCATGTTGACTCCCAATGGCCGTCTCTAGCGAAGGATGACGAACATCCTCCCCAAGCAAGATTAACCACCCGCCGATCACCACAAAGCAGAGGACCACGAACAACTCGCAAAATCAACGCGCAGGCCACCAGGCTTGAAGCCGTTGATGACTCTCTCGATCCGCTCGGCCCGTTAGGTGACAAGTCCTTCTCGATCCCCCCAAATCCCGACCAAGGACCCACGCCACCCCGAAAGGAACCCTTCTCCGGTAGAAATGTCCGTCCCACCTCATCGAGATCCCAATCATCAACTGGCGGATTGATGGACTCGGTTGATTTGAACGATGAGGAACAGGTGGCACGTTCGCGAATGAAAGAGCCTCCTCCAGTTCAGTCTCCGGTTGATGCACCAAAACGTCAAACGCAGCCAAGCATGCCTATCGAGCAGGCTGCGAAGCCATCATTTGAGATCACGGTTGGTGATCCGCATAAAGTTGGGGATATCACCAGCAGTCACATTGTATATCAAGTTAGGACGAAGGTACATTATACCTTGAGAATCCAATCACTGCATTCCGACGAAGTTACCTAACTCATTCATTTTTTTTTTCTCTTAGACTACATCTAAAGCGTATCGACAACCTGAATTCACTGTCAGTAGGCGGTATCGGGATTTCCTATGGCTGTACAACTCGTTGCACGGTAACAATCCTGGAGTGGTTGTTCCCCCGCCTCCAGAAAAGCAGGCAGTTGGTCGATTCGATACGAACTTTGTTGAATCACGACGAGCTGCACTAGAACGTATGCTCAACAAAGTCGCCGCGCACCACATACTACAGCACGATGGGGATCTTAAGATCTTTCTGGAAAGCGACACCTTCAATCTCGACGTGAAGAACAAGGAGAACCGCGAACCAGATATAGGGCAAAGTAAGGGCATGTTCAGCTCATTAGGTATATCAGTTGGTGGTCCGGGCAAGTTTATTGAACATGACGATGTGTGTTAACCCTAAGGGCGATTTACTTCTTATTAGGTACTAACTCTGAGCAGTGGTTTCACGAGCGCAAAATATACCTCGACGCCCTTGAGAACCAGCTGAAGGGGTTGATGAAGGCAATTGATACAGTTGTTGCGCAACGAAAGGGCCTGGCTGAGGCTGCTAATGACTTCTCAGCGTCACTCCATTCCCTTGCAACGGTGGAACTTTCTCCCGCCCTCTCTGGCCCCCTTGAGGGTCTTTCCGATCTGCAATTACGAATAAAGGAACTCTACGAGCGCCAAGCCCAGCAAGATATTTTAACATTAGGAATTACAGTTGATGAATATATCCGGATAATTGGAAGTGTGAAGGCGGCCTTTTCTCAGCGGCAAAAATCGTTTCATACCTGGCACGCTGCTGAGTCTGAACTACAGAAGCGGAAAAATGCGCAGGACAAATTGCTTCGACAGGGCAAGTCTCAGCAGGATCGACTGAATCAGGCTGCTGCAGATGTGGCGGATGCGGAGAGGAAGGTACACCAGTCCCGACTTTTGTTCGAGGACATGGGTAGAGTGATGCGGAATGAGCTGGAGAAGTTTGAAAAGGAGAAGGTGGAGGACTTCAAATCTGGTGTTGAAACGTTTTTGGAGAGTGCTGTTGAAGCTCAGAAGGAGGTTAGATCGCACCAACTTAATCCTCTCAGCCTTCTGAGTGCTTGTCAAAATACTAACGTCATTAATTTTGTAGTTGATTGAACTTTGGGAGACGTTCCTCCTGCAGCTCGATGCCGACGACGATGCCGACGCTTACTTCACGCCTGTCCCCACGAATTTAGAATCGAGACCTGGCACTTCTGATGGAGGACAAGAAGTTCAGCCTACTGCAACAGAACAAGAGTCGTAATTAACAGCATTTATTACCTCCCTCCGATTTCTGTTTTTTGTTCATTTCTACCGTAGAGCGGGAAGCAAATTTGACGACCCCGACGACCCTCAGACCTATCATGCTTTAGTTTATGTTTATACATGTACTTCCAAATGATTCAAATTTTGCTTTAACAGATTTTATTTCCCGTTCAGTTTATCTTTGCCCGTCTCTTTAGTTGTACTAACAGGTTCTATCAGCTGCAAAAGTAAGCTTTCAGTGTTGACATGCTGACTTGGTATTTGACAAACCAGCCCACTAATAATAATATGTCGGACACTCCTGTCACGTGCCAAGCTTGCCGTTCTGTCATATTATGCTTTTGGATATCTTTGGTGCATAGTGGTATCTCCAACACTATCTCATTCCACTGGAGACCTGGCATGAATGGAGAGTGGTAGGCAGGTCATCGTATCAATTGCGTATCCCACAGAAATGTATATATCATGTACAGTACAATATTGGAACGTCACACCATAAAAATGCTCCATATATTCATACAATATCATATCTCCCAAATGAAAACGGAAAAATCACAGCATCAATATATATATATATATAAAGTTTGAAGAGCCGATAACCAAAGAAGAGAAAACCCAATTATCCCTCTTGGTTTATTTCTTCCCTTTCCCCTTCTCCTTCTCCTGCTGAGCCCCCTCACCCCCGTCCTCCTGTCCAAACGAAGTAATCAAATCCAGCAAATTATCCTCCTCCTCATTCTCCTCAAACTCAAACTCCACGGCGCCCTCCTCAACCTTCTCAACCCTGCCCTGCTTCGAAGAATCCCCTCCAGCGCCAGCAACTGTCTCCGCAACGACCGTATTCACCGTATCCCAACTCCGACCGAACTTGCTTCTAAACGCCGCCAACCGCCCAGCCTCGTCCTCCTCAACATTTCGCAGCTTCTCGCTCGATGGATTCCATAGTGGTGCGTTGCGCGTGTCTCGCGTGGAGCGGTAGACGGCTAGCGGGGAGGTGGTGCGGTGAGTGAAGGTACTGCCGTCCGAGAGGGTTATCAGCTGTGTAAAGGTGTATGGCCGCTTAGGTCGTCGAAGGAGAGTTGCGTGTCTGCATTGTGTGCAGATGAAGGTTGTTCTGCTGGGATTGGAGAGGGCTGTGATGGAGGTGTGGCGGATGGGGAGATGGAGGGACATCATTGGTTGTGCCAGCGATTGGGGGTTGGCTTGATGTTCCTTTTGTATTCCGCGACAGGAGTATGTTGGAATTGAGGTTTCAGTTCCGAGGCTGAGATGTTCAATTGGGCGTAATGCGGAGGTGGTGGATTGTGGAAATGTGTATCTCTTCTGGCATTTTAGTTGAAGTCGTAGAATTAACTAGTTAACTAATTTTGGAGTTAACTAATTACTGGCTTATATAAGCGCGTTTTCAAGATTTGAGGATTCCATGTTCCCTTTTGACTGTGACACTCTACTAACAGTCCAGAAAAGAGAAGACACAATGACCCCAATTGCCTAGAGGTTGGAGAAGTAGTTGTATTTTTTTCATTCTGAAAGATGAATGGCGGTAATAAATGCACCGTTTGGACCTTGACAATTCAGGAAGATGTTGTCGGGCTGTTGCCCGAGTTTCCCTGCTCGACGTTCCCTCTTCCGATTGCTCCATAGCACAAAACCGCTGCATCGACCTGGACATCATGGGCAGCTAATCTCTTCCCCGACGAGATGTCACTTACTCCGATCCTACGGGTTGTTGCGGACGATTCTATCAAAGCATGCCGTAAGCATTACAGATTCAATCAGCCCAGTACTACCCCGTCGAATTCCGCGGGTAACAGAGATATCTCCTCAGGACACGACAAAACCACCACCCACTGTCAAGAACCGCATGGGTTATTATGCTTCGCAGACCAACGTTGCTAAAAACGCAGTCGTCATCGATGAGGATGTTGATGAAGTTCCTCAACCAACAGCGGAAGCCACCGCGCGGACGGAGAATGCGGATTCCAAAGTTGACATCGGCAACCAAGTCCGTCTTCTTATGCGCCGAGTCCCCCACCCTGTCGCGATAATTACATCCACAAATCCAGCTGCCCCCACGGCACAAACTTCCTTTCGTGGAATGACAGTCTCCTCCTTCAACACGGTTACCCTCTATCCAGAAACCATTGTCTCATTCAACGTAAAACTCCCCTCTGAAACTTTCAATGCCATCTGCTCCTCCTCCCGTTTCCTCGTGCACCTTTTGGCCCCCGCAGATGCGACTGCACGTCTAGCCCGGGACTTCTCTCAGGGAAATACCCATGTCGTGCTCAATGATGAGAGGGATCGTTTTTTCAAGTTCGTCTCGATTAGTGCGGGAGATGATGATCGACCACCTTCGATTGCAGAGGGGGAGCCACCTCGTTTGACCCTGATAAATGCCAAGGGGGGCCCTATTACGAGTTCTTCTGTGGACTACTTCCCGTTTATATTTGAATGCCGGTATCTTCCGCAGAGCGTGAAAGTCGGCAATCACGTCGTTGTACTGGGGCGGGTAGTCAATATTATCCATAAAGAAGCAGATGAGCATCGCGATCAGGTGAACGTACATTCTCCAGAGCGTTTGTGCTTATCATATGCGGACACCCGATTCTGGAAAATTGGAGAGAATATCGATATTATAGATTCATAATCAATCATGGTTTGGAAATGGGTTCAATGGGCAGTATTTCTATATAATCTAGACTTGAGGGTATATATATGTGCAGGCATGGGTTGACATTGTTCACTAAGAACTTTTCTTTGTAAATTCACTACCGTATTTAAATAGTTTTAATGATTCAAGTTAACGTACTGTATACCCCCATTTAACAAGGTTCTACATGATTATCGCTATCATATCGTATAATGGCGGTCCTAACCCATCGTTGTTAATGTTTGCCTCTCTAATGAAAGGAGAGGACAGCAATACGGGTGACTCCAACAAATCATCAATGGACACCAAGAGAGACGAAACAAAGAATCAGAGTAAGAAGTGTCTATATCGAACAACGAATGATGGATAGATATATTCGCTCTAGTTGTCTATCTGATGCCTAGACGGTGATGTGGTGAAATCAAAAGGGTGTGTGAAAAGTGCTTTTGGGTCTGCTTTCTTCTCCACTGCCTGTCCATGGAGGTAGGTAATGGGTGGATTATTCTTCTCATATTGTCCTTGGGCTTAAAGAGTCATGTCGGCTTTCGGTAGGGAGGGTTCCCCTTTCCCAATGCTTTTCCTTTTTACTCTGCAATTCTGTCCAATCAAGCAGACAGGAAACAAAACCAAGGGGGCTATCAACATGTATGTGCATGTGCAAGGTGCTTGTATGTCTAATATGCGCTGCAATCAAAGCTTGGAGTGGCATCTAATCTATAAAGTTGGTCCCGGTATTGAAAGCACTAATGGCTTGGTTCCTGAAGGATGAATAGAGGAATATTGGTAATGGAAGGTGGCGGAATGAGGTAGAGAGAGAGAGCAATGCCAAAATATACAGACACCTATTAAGAGCAGCTGTCAAACACAAGCCATTTGAGATGCTGGACAGGGTAAGTAAGGCGGCAGGTGTAATGTTAGGTCAACAAAGCAAGCAAAACTGATAACAACCGAAATGATGTTGTCGCGCAGTCAGAGCGGAAGCAGTTGACGTTGCAAAATTATCCATTCCAAGTCGGGTTTTCCCGATTTGACTGAGGGCTTCCACTTCCACTTCCGCTGCCGCTGCCGCTACCACTGACACTGCCTTGACTACCAGATCTGGTAAACTTGCGAGTACCTCGTCCGAAATTCGCTGCGCCTCTTTGGCTCGTTTCCCCTATAGAATCAGGAGAACCTCCTGGTCTTGATACTATGGTTTGATCTGCTAGCATGCTTCCACCAGAAAAATTAGACAGCGATCGATGTCGCTGAGAAGTTGGTTCCGGTCCAGAGAACGGGTCGGCAGTGGCCAATGGAGAGGAAGGGTATGGTTGCTGCTCCACATGCGCCAAATGCGAATATCCTGCAACAGGGGACATCGAAGCCTGAAGATCAGCGAAACCTCCCTTTTCATTGGTACCAAATGTTGGGTAAATTGGGCCCGAATTAGATCTCGTAGTTGAGGGCATTGCCGACATCGTGGACGTCCTGCTTTCAAAAGCTTGCGGATTGGTACCTGGCAGATTGCCTTCAGGGGTGAGAGGACCGCTATTAATGAGCATTTGTTGCTGTTGTTGTTGTTGCTGGTAGGCTTGTTCGATGGCCGAGGCTTGTTGCCAGAGATGCGTTGTGCGAATCTGATAATCCTGAACTGATCGAGTAATGCTAGTTAATTGATCATAGAAGCTTTCTTCGATCCCTGCACGTTCACGCTCCTTTGCAAGTTGTTCTGCTGCTCTTCGTTCCCGTTCATTGAGACCCTGATTGTTGGCGCTCGTAATGCGTTCATGCTGTTCTGTCAATCTTTGCTGGCGCCCTTGGAGACGTTCACGCTTCTGGATAACCGAGGCTAGCTCTGATTTGACTGAAGATATACTCCTACTGGCAACTATCCTTGCAGTGTCCACTTCTTCCTTGAGCGATTTCACACGATCCATCTCCTGATCAAAAGAAGTTTTTCGTGAATTCCACTCTTCTAATTCCTCATCAGGGACGGTTTCCAGATTGCGTAACTGAGCATCGATTGTGGCAGTAGCTTCTTCTGTTTGTTTTATAGTCCGTTTAAGTTGTAGCAACCTTTGCCTCAGTCGATTCTCATCAGAACCACCGCTGAGACGATTTGTGAAACTATCGACCTCCTTTTTCAACTTGGAAATAAGGAGCTTGTGGTCGTTTTTTGACCTTTTCAGGCGCGCACGACGTTCGCTCAACTTGGCCTCGGCGTTGACAATAGAATTTTTGATGGTAGTCGTGGGGGAAGAAGGGTGGATGGATTGTCGGGGCGATGGTGAAATATTAGAGATAGAAAGTGCTACAAGGTACGTCAGTCTCTCTACGGAGAAAGAGAAAGAGGCATGTATATATAGTGGATGATTTTACCTTGACCTGCGTCGGGAAGCGGTGGTGTTTTCACACTCATAACACAGATAGTTTCATCGGTGCCATGCCGGATGAAGCTGCAAGTATAGGCACAATCTGGCGCTAACCTAGAAATCTCACCTCTCCAGTGGACAAGCGACGGCTCCCCAGACTTGTTAAGAACCCTGGAAAGTGTAACAGGGGCCCAGTGGGCACCATTGACTCTTACATAGAAAGGTTCCGCACAAACACGTTGATCGCTAGTTTCGTCATAAAAAGCATCATCCACCTGAACAAAATCGCTTGCCGCGAACTTAATCGAGGAATTATCGACTTGCGTAATCCATATAAATCCATCATTCAAAGGAGCTCCTTCGACATCATCCTCAGTGACTGGATGGTGAGTAGCAGACCATATCCCATTCCGGGAATGGTCATACTCTCGCATCACAGTGACTTTGGTGCTTGCTAAAGCAGCCCAAAATGGTTGCCTACTTCGCACTTGATTCGCTTGCCTTCGTCTTTTCTTTGCACTGGAAAGTCGTTCTCGGTTTTCTTTTAGTACCGATGGCCCCGCAAGGGAGCCATCATTCGTCAACATAGAAGAACCACTTGTAGCGGATTCAAAAGTAGACAAGTCGGCATGGGTTTGCGAGCCAGCAGATGCCTCTGTATCAGTTCGTTTTCCTGGTTTCGACGGGGGAAGAGTGCGGTTTTTGGCCATAGAACGCCTTGCCATAGCAGTCCCTGCCTGGGCAAGGATATGGACTGCAAGCAGACTTCGTAACCAACTTGGAGGAGATGGGGGCTCTTTCCGTCGGAATTCTTGAGGAACCAAGTGAGAATATTGAGCAAGGGTATCTGTAGTAATTAGTTTTGCCGACAAAAGGTGACCTATGACAAAGTCTTGGATGCCTTTACTGCGCAGGACATGCACGATCAGGACCATCATGACACAAAACGCATTAACTCCTTCATTTTTGCCCGAACTCCCTCCTCCCATTGTAATCGCGACCTGGACCTGAGCGAGATCTATTGCAAAATTCTGTGCCCATGTCCACATAAACAAGCCCCAAACCAAAAGACAAAATCCATCCATTGCGATCATTGTAGAGAGGGAGGGAGTCCCAGCGGGTCCTTGGAAAATGTCGAAATTCGACGTCAACACATTCGTAGAAACGCCAGCAGGAGGCATGAAGGTCAACGACGCAAACAAGAACTGGACGAGGGTCAAAACGATCGGTGGTAGTTGTAGGAGAAATATGAGGATGGCGACAGTGTCATACATCGGGCATGACTTGAGGATGGTAGATGCAAGAGAAAATGGATTTACAGAGTTTGGTGGGGATGTCTTTTTCACGGAAGCGGCAGCCCCTCCTCCCGTTTTGTCTGTGTTCGCTGGTGTTTGCTTATCAAATGTTTTGCCTAGCAAAGCTCCTCCGTTAGTCGATGTTGGTGAGTACGAATGTCCGTTCGACATGGCCGCGGTGACCTTCCCATATCCGCTTGCCTGGGCTTGTCCGTTGGATTCCATCTTTGACGATTCCGTTGGTCCATCCAGGGTGTTGTCCTCCCCAGATTCTATTGATTGCTGTTGGTCTGTGGAATTGGCATGCGAGGGCAGTGCGGGCGGGTGTACACCATTAAAATTGCCATTCAGGTGGCCATTTGACTTTTGCTTAGCGAGCTTTCTCCCAGAAACAGCGAAACCGTTCTCATGTCGATTTCCGTGATGAATCTTCCTTCCTGTGCCTCCTGGTCGTCGCATGGACGAGGGATTCCAATATGCCAGGTCCCAATCCACTTGGCAGGCGTGGGCCAAGGAAATGGACAACTGGTGAGGATCTGAGAAGGTGAGAAAATAGCGGGTCGAAGAGAAGTTAGAACGAGAGGTTGGAACAAAATGGATGGAACGAGAGAATAGAAGTAGCAAGGGGTTAAAAAGGAACGCAGTTTGCAGTGGATATATCAATGTAATTATTCCGTGGTGGTGGCTGGTGGCCTGGAGAGAAAAATGAAGTTGAAGTCTTTCAGCAGCCAGTTTCAAAGAAGAAAGTCTTGGCGAGGCTTTGGGGGGGTAGCGAGGCAATCGGTACCGTACCATCGTATGGTTCCTGTATCTATACCTGTGTCTCTGTGTCGGTTGCTGTGTAATCTACGGTACAGCCCTGTCGGTGGAAAAGAGTTGGGACGTAATATTACCGGCTAGATGATAGATCTTAATTTCAGTCTCCACCCCTGGGTCAGCGTCACCAGAAAAATATCCATAACCACCCTGCCTCCCTAGGTAGATATGCAGGCAATCGGCTTCTGTGCACTATGTAAACACCATTACACAGCATTGCTGCATTCGATACAGGATGAATACGCTCCAGTACATTACATTACTTCCGCGGTTTTATGACTCCAAATGACTAAGCTATTCTTTTAACTAGTTTAACTACGTTTAGTTAATTAGTTAGGTAGTTTAGTGGCTGTGGCCCAGCCAAGTTTTGTTTGCCTTCTTAAAGGTGCGTATGCAGTAGTTACTTGATGCTTCTCCCGCACCAGTCAAACAATTCAAATGACAATGTTCCTAAACACATCTGGGTAACACGCCTTTTCGGATCGCAGATGCACAAGGAAACTGGCATTGCTGTGTTCCGAGGACCGCAGATCTGGTCATCTGTCAGAGCAGGCTGGTGGCGCTATTGGTCGCGCAACCCAAGGCTCAAAACTAAAGTGGATACAGCCACGCTAAAATGCCCAAGATCTGCTAAAAACTCCTCTACATGCATATGCATAGGGGAGTCTGCCAAGGCTGGTAAAGCAACTGAAACCTTAGCTGAGTCAGTGGACTGACTCCATGTGCAGTCTCGAGGATAAAGTGTTGTGAGCACTATGAATACGAAAAACTAGCTAACACAACTCCCAACCGAGCCGGCCACCCAACCGTCAGCCATCAAAAACCACGGTGCATCAAGTATTTAATTTGAATTACAATTATTAACAAACAATTTAAAACTTTAACTATGACTTCTAGTTACCTAGATCAAGGCGGGGCACTCGATCAAGTCGCTTCAGTCATCCCCATACTCTCGAGTCTCGCTGCAACAATTTCTCAGCGCCTCTCATTCCTCTCGATATATATACTCAGTTGAGCCATCAACTAATAATATGGAGCTTTCTCAGCAGCTAAATAACCATGGGTTCTTTCCCAAAGCCAGAATTTTGTGCTTTTGTGTTTGTTTGCCAGCCAATGAAGCCAGATTGGCTCTAAATGTGTTCGAATTTCTACCCAATGCACTACCATGGATTAGTCGCAACATGGGCCTAAGTGCTATGGGCTTCATTTCGCTTCTGGCTTTTGGATCAGCCAGTGAATAATCATTGCTGGTAATATTTTTGATCAATTAGCCAGTTATTAGTGATTGGGGGGTGGAGGTTTGAGATGGGATGCAACACGTTAACGACCTCTGGCATCAATGACGATAAGAAATAAGGCAGAAAATAATCCAAGTGGGGTTGTGCGGTCTGATAGTTTTCAAACACAGCTTATTCTAATTGCCCCTCCTCCATCTCCGTCAACGGATATTCTGTTTGAATAGAGCCCAGTTTAGGTTGTGTTGGGCGCATGATGTTGGTTCCTGCCCATCCGTTTGCAATAACTGCTTACTGCGGGGCAGCTGGAACTGCAGTGTGCCATGCTGGCATGCGACTCTCTTGTTGGATCCTACATAATTAACCGCGTATGGCAATCCTCTTAACGGTTGATGTGAAATATGACCAGATATGCTTCCTTGCTTCCTTGGAGAATGCTTAAAATAACTGTACCAACAGGAGTGCCTTTTCCAGATGCTAATGCAACCAAACCTGCGGGGATAGTTAGGCTGGCAATTCCTCTTATCCTTCAACATCGGGCGTTTAATGCTTCTTGCTAAAGAAGTCCTCATAAACCTCCGATATTGCGCAGATCATAGGATGTTGAGGCATCGCAGGGTACAATTCTTCAGCAAGTTAGTGGTGTATGTATGGGCATACAGAAAACGATATGGTTCTGCAAAACTGCACCGTCGAAATTCAACCCCAAATTCCCAGGTGGGAAGTTTGCTCCGTGTAGCCAAGCCGGCTCATCCAGGTTGTATCCCTGGTGGTTGTCCTGGCGAGGTAGGTCCCTTTTGACTGGCAGGACCGTGCAAATGCCAACACGGCAACTCCCCGTCGTTGATCACCAACTTGCAAAGGGGAAAGGTTGAGTGTATGGTCGTACGACAAACCTATTATCTAAATTGACTTGGTTACGACTGAAAAATGTTGTCCAGGATTGAACGTACATATATTCACACGGTCTTTGTACTCTTCCTACGCTCATTAACGACGTCTCGTCTCAACAAGATGTTCCCAAGGCAATTGGGGCTCCAATTTCACCTGTGCACCGAAAGACAACATGTGAAGAGAACTTGGACGATATAAGAATAACTACTCAAGATATACAATAATCTTGGTTGCACTAACGTTGAAGCGAAAGGAGTCTTCAGAAATTCCATGGGTTGGAACCGTCGGCAGCTAAAAGATCCCTGCAAGCTGCTCGGATCAGGGGTTGGATAATTACCCCCGCATTCACCACCATGTTTGCCAACTTTGGTGATGGAAAAAAATCACCGAAGCAAGAGAGACAATGCCTCACATAGCATTTATTCCTGCCTTAGTAATTTAGTTGACAATCTCTTTGTCAATATTTTCAGATGAAGACGAACAGACCTTTATTTCTCATTTAGAGCTTGCCCGAAGACAGCTACATGCCGATAGATTGATCAAAATTCCCACCTTGAAAAGCTATTTAATTTTCAAGGGTTTAGAGGATAATCAGGACAGCAATGACGACATTTCCAAGTGCTGTATTTTCTCCCCTACCTGGTAAGGGACCTGGATGTTGTGTTCAGCGACGATTAAGATATGAGTCCTGAAAAAAAAAAAGGCTTGAACGGCAAAGCGGAAATCAGATGCGTCGGGCAGTGGGAAAGAGTGGCCGTATTCTACCATACCATACCGTCCTGTATGAGACATACTTTGTTGTCCATAGAGCTTCACTAGGAATGCCAAACCATTCCCGTCCTAATTCCCCAGAACCTTGGAAGTCCATCCATAGGACCAACCATAGCTTCCCGCGCAGAAGACGGTTGAAGGCGGGCTTCTTCGAGTGGGACAATTCCTATTATATCTCGACTTGAAATTGATAGATTCGGGGACAATGAAACTTGGAATGGTTTCTTTTTTGACTTCAGTATTCATACCCGTTTTCCTTGATCTTTGCCCCGAAAAAAAAAAAAATTAAATCTGGGAACGAAACAGTGACATGAAAATCTGAACTGAGACAATCTCAGACAACAATTTGAATACTTACTTGCAGGACCTATAACAAACTTTATTATGTATGAAGTTATGTACATGCCACACATACCAATTCAGTTTCTCGTCTCCACCCGATATCACTTCCTGAAGTCATGTAATGAGATGATTAAGACAAATGGGATTCTTGAAACCCCATATGGCATTATCGGTGTACTCAAAAAAAGTTTGAATCTGGCTGTTTAGTTGTACGGGCTGCCTATATATTCATTCCTAGACTGAAGCAAGCCAAGCATTTGCACCTCACCCTGATGATCCCATATCTTCAACAGCATCTGGCCGGTCCCAACTAGATTTTTCCAGATCTTCCACCCTCTTCTCAATCTCTTTGACCCTCGAGCCCCATACTCGCCGAGATTCTTCCTGCAACTCCCACATTTCCAGGAACTGGTCCATCATGAACGATGGGAGCATATGCACTTTACGCCCCTGACGGTAGTCATATGTGACAATATCCTCATGGCATCGAGCAGCGGGTCGCTGATGCGCCTCGGAAAGGATCAATACATCGAGCTGGAATGAGGAATATGATGAGGATGCCGGGCTGGAAAGTGCTGGGGGAGTATGTGACAGTTTGTGGTATACACTAATTTTATCTGGAAAGGTCATTGGCTGCATTCAATTCTCGTCAGCTCATCAGTCAACGAAGTGTGCCGTCTGTAGTATTAGTGACAGTTTGTCGATTCACAAGCAGCAGCCATATTAATACATTATGTGAGCGAGACCACTGAACTCACAAATTTATAGTCTATCTTGATACTTTTCAATATCAACCCGATGCCCGTCGAACTCAGGAGGTTAGACCATGCCTTTTTGTTCGCGGGGTCAACATGGATTCCGATATTTTTCATCCAATTGACTCGTGCGGTCTCCGCATATCTCACGTACGATACGTTATTTACATGCCCTGAAATCAATGAGCCAGGATTAGGCATTCGTCATCTGGGCCATGCAAAGGGCCTGAAAGTTGCGGCTTAGAAGGGGGTGTCAGAACTCTACCCTTATAGTTTACTTGCTTTAGCATAGATTACTTCCAATTAGACTTAGAAAGAATGGAAGAAGGGCTGCACAGAAGTGGTGCATTGTCGGGAAAGGAACAAAAATATTAAATAGGGGCTACTTACCATAACATCCTATCATTACGGCGAAGGACAAGCAGATCAGTTATCAAGCACAATGAAGGGCAAGGATGCGCATTTGAATACCATTTCTCCCCACGCAACATTATGGCGAAAGAGACCCTCCCTCCCTTTACCTGTGAGGAACCCTTCGCTCCCCACAGTCAACTCTCGCCAGTCCCGTGCAAGTTCGCGGAGTATTTCTCCCGCCTCATCAACCTGATGTGACTTCATTCCGAATGTAAAGCATTGCGCTAGTCTCCCTTTAATCGTCGAAAGCCATCTCGAATCAAATTCACGGGGGACCGGCGTAGTTTGGGTGTGATAAGAAGAAGGATGTTCTACATGTCGGTCACTGGTCGCGACGCTGCGGTTGATAGAGCGGCAATGAGATGGGATTCGTCCCGAAACATGGGGGTTGGAAAGCAACTGTTGCCGCCAAAGCACACGAGAAGTCATCATTATTCCGGTCGGAATAGGCTTTGCTCCCAACCCACGAAACGCTGTATGAACCTACCTTCTCCAGGCTCTGTCCTCTTCAGCTTTCATTCTCAGTCTTGAGGTTGCTGCAGCGACTCGGAGGTTCGGCCTCCGGGGCCGTTGCCGGCATTTGAGATCCCACGTGATCGGCATTGACGCTGCGAGCCGAGATTATTTCGGCTTGCATTTCGGGAAGTTCATCATCTGAATTGAATTTGTCTTGATTTGGTTCTACATTCGCAAAAATATGAACTATCCAATTGCATTTATAGAGCTTTATAACCCCCTATTATTAAGTGAAGATTTCACGATTAGTAAGACAGTCCTTACACAGCAATCAAAGAACCGACTGTGGTTGTTAGCGATAACAACCTTTTAATACTCTTGTTATCTTTCGCTCAAAAGCTACTCTGAGAATAATAAAATTTAAAGAACTATTGGCAGCTGAAGAAAGAAGCCAAGGTGAGTCTACTGCATTTCTTTATCATGATTCCACTTGACCACCATTGGTAGCTCACTCAGTAAAACCAGATCAAAATAAGGGCGAGACTAACGCCTACAACGACGGGCGACTCCAATCCCCCTTCACAGAACAGCACCACTAATATGATGCGGCAGGGCCATGGTCGTGGTTGTGGTTCCAGTCATCACTCACTGTTATCCAGAAGACTCAGCAGCCTTCAGAGGGGATGAAAGCAAACATCACCATTTTCCTGAACCTGCCAACTGAAGACCCCGAGGAAATCAGTGCGTCAAACTTTATGAAAAGCCACAACCGTCGTTCCCCCCGTAGTTACCCACACGCAGCTTACCATTGAAAACTGGGTTGAATCTGATGTACACAGCACGAGCGGGCCATCAAGCAACTTGACTGAAAATTTCACTGTGAGAAGCAGCGACAACGAAGAATTAGAGAAGCTATCGAACCAGCGCAAACTCTCCTCGCGTCAACCTTACTCCCATTCTCTCAGGTTCCGCACGCCGTTGAAGATCGAGATGTTGAGAGGGAGCCTCGCAGCGTGAAATCAATGTCCACCACAGAGCTGCACATGGCGCAGCTAGGATTATTGGGAGAATGATCCAGAGAAACTCTTAATCACAGATAGGGAGCATAGATTGGATTCTTAGGAAGAAAATATATAATAGCCCTCAACGACAATGTTTAGCAGATAGAAATCAGAAGCCAAGATATGCCAAGGGGGCGCGCTCTCCATGATATGAAGCTTCTGGTGGTGAGTCTAACTAAATCGCCTCCCCTTTCTGCTGCATTAGAGGACACATTGAAAGAGCTCTCTTCGAGGCTCCGCGTCGCCATGTAGCACTCCTTTTGAGTAAATGGCTTGCAGAGCATGGGATACCATGAAAGAGACATCTGAAGTGTGGCTTGATGCCCCAGCCTTACATATCGGTTCTCCCGCCCAACTCAAAAATAACATGTTGGTGTGAATTCTTTCGTCGTAGTAATAGAAATAAAAGAAACAAAGTAGATATAAGATAAAGAATTTCAAATATATAACTATAACTTGATGAAAGAATAGAAAAGAACAAAGCTAAGTTTGAGCAAAAGGTTAAAAATCTTAACAATAAATAATATATATATAAGTTAAATTTTTTTTTTTTTTTATGATAGTTACAAGTAGATGTAAAACAAATATTAAAATTTAAATATTTAAATTTAATATATTTAAAAACTATAAATAATAATAAATATAATAAAAAATATTAATATTAATATACTTTTACTTATATATTTAAAATATTTAAAAAATAATTGAAGATTCAAAGATATTATTTACTTATTATTATTTTTAAGTATAAATTATTTTTAATCAATTTAATATTATTTAACCGACTATTATCTTAATATTTATATAGAAGATAGCTTGATGAGATGAGTAATTAAAGTATCATAACCATGAAAAATTCTGTATTAGAAGTTTGATTGAACGTTTCAATAATTAGTTCTGCATTTTTGTTGTTTTTAGCTACGTGATCTGATTGAACTCAAATGATTCATTTACAACCCAGTCCTTTGCAATTATTTGCCATCCATTTGAATGCTCACGTCAACTCTGCAACTTGAGAAGAGAGAAACACATCTTCCATACACAAGCACATACATAATTTGAACAGGAAGCACATCACAAATCTTGACCTGATCCTGCTCAACCCTTTCCAGTCTTTGAATCACATTTCTTCATAAGCTATTGATGAGGAGCTCTCATCATGTCCACTCCAAGCCTTCGGCACCAAGTCATCCATATCTACAAAGGTAAGACCACAGCAAACACATGTTGATATTGTACCTCTCTTTTCGTTAGTGCCTTTGATTTTCTCTTTGACTCCCTTCCTTAATAACAGCAGCTAACTGGAATCCGGCCTTGCCTGTAAGAATAGAGCTCCTCTTCCTCGGCCGCGAATACCCTCTCGGCTACCAATTCTTCCGCGAACGCCTACACCGCGCATTCGCGAGCCAATCTCACATCACGGATGAAGAGAAGATTATTGACGGTATACAGAGGGCGGAGTATGTGAAAAAAGGTGCGTATTTCTGAATGTTTTAAATTGTACTTGACTGGTGTTCAACTTGTGGTTCTTGCGGGGAGCTCTGTCCTCCTTGAGGTGACGGGTATACAATTTGTTATCATAATTAATTTTTATTGACCTTTTTTTTACGAATTTATTGTTAGCTGGGGGGCTGAACTTGCACTGGCTTACTTTGTTTTACAAATTTTTTTCGGGGTTTGCTGTTTTAATATTTGTGCAGCAAGTATAGATTTTAAAAGAGTATGCTAACCGTGGACTGTGCCCCTGAGGCGCTTGACGAAGTCTTAGAGATCGAGGCATTGTAAGTTTAGATTCCTCCTTTTCCTTTAACATTCGGGCTTCTCCAACTCGTACCCTCGTTTCTTCATTTTGTGTTTTGAACGAAGGACGAATGTTGTCTTAATTGGCAATTCCAAGTCCCTTCAAGTTCCCGGGGGTAAAAAGCGTTTGGTACGCTATGCACAGATAAATGCTTTCATATATAAAAATTAGGGGATTGATTTAAAAAAAATGCAGATGACAATCCCAAGAATTCAGAAGCGATGGGGAAAAATACGTTTTGGAGAAAAGGAAAAGATGCAGATGAAAGGGCAAAAGAAGGAAAGGGAGAAAAAAAAAAAAAGGAAGACTGATCCAGAAACACAGCAAGATCTGTGCCGCCTATAACCATCTTGTCGTTTTTCATCGCTCCTTATACACCATATTAAGAGTCATTTAATCATGCCAACATTTGTCAAAGTTGTTCTGCGATTGCTCAATTACCGTGGAGACGGACGAGGAATACAAAAACCAAAAGCCCAATCAAGCAGGAAAAAGGTTAAAAGAAGAGAAGTGCTAACGGGGGTATAATGCAGATATTATCTGAGACGATATCGCGCACTCAAGAGTCGATATGACACACCCAAAGTCCCTGTTGACTCAGAGACCAAGGTAGACGGAAAGAGAAGTTAGAAAGTGGTGGGAAGAGTTGCGAGGGAAGTGAGCATGAATTCCGTGGTGGAGTTGTCGCACACCCGGTGCTAGATAATAAAGGAGCTGTAGTTACTCAGAGCAAAGGAGAGGAACGGAGTGAGGGAGGTCGAGGCCGTGGATGGATGTGACTATCGTTTTTGACCCCACCAAGCGCCGATTTCTAGACACTCGCCGCTGGCCGCGCCGCCCTTTTGCAGTAGATCTGTCGTCATTCCAGTCCACCATCGATCCCACTCATCCCTGCCCTTTCCGCTCGCTTCCATAAGCATGGGCTCCATGCTCTCGATCATTTGGACAATCGTAACCAGCGCTGTTTGGCGCAGTGCAAGCTGCTCTAGTGACAAGGCCTTCCGTTGCTCCCAGTCATTAGATGGGTTCCCCTGAGCCTCCCGTTCCCATCTAACCTCTCCTAGCGGGATTGCTATCCTGCGGCTGTCGACGCTCAGGAAGGATTCTGATTCAGAGGTAAATGAAAGGCCAATTATGGCACAAGGCATGGGACTCAATTTGCGACGTTCAAAAGCCTTTTGGGTCCAGGAGTTGTAGTCCCGCAGGTATTTGTTCTGAACATCTGCGAAGGGAGTGGCCGGAAATATAGTGTATGTACCGGTGGCCTCAGCCTGTTCCACGTTTCCTCCTGATAACCCAGGTGCACGTGGGGGGTTCGGGAGCAGAGTTCTGTATATAAGATCTGAATCCCAAACTTCCAGCACTCCTCCAGATTTTAAAACGCGAAGAGGTTCGCCCAATGGCAGTGTTTGCATCTCTGACCCAGACGGACAGATTCCAGCATCCTTTATGAAGACAAAATCAAAGTAGCCATCGGGAAATGGCAATTTAGGTTTCCGTAGGTCGTGTCGTTTAAAATGCCAATTCATCCCTTGCTTTTGAAGATCTGGCGCTAGGTTGACGATGTCGAGCCCGATGAAGGAAATATTTTTATGTCCCCTTTGGGCGAAATAGTCATGACAAGCGTTTGACCACAACCCGGAGCCGCATGCCAGCTCCAGCACCCGTTTAGGCGGATGGTCAACGAAATGAGGAGTGCAAAAGGGCGCGCCAAAGACCTGCATCAAAATCAAGGACCGTAGCGACTGTCTGTGGATTTCCGCAAGGTCGCACGGGAGTGGATACGGGTTATCCGGGTCTCGAAGGTATGTGCGTCCATTACGTTTCTCTAGTGGGTAGGTTGCATAGTCTGTGGATGAGGAAGACGAGGAAGAAGAAGTCGCAGGCATTACGGGTCCTTGGGCGGTAGCGTCGCTGTTGAATCGCTGGATGGCATGGTGTTTGGAATCGAAGGTGTTGGATGAGTTGGGGATGTAGAGGTAGGATAAATTGGCGGATCCGGCCATGGTCGGTTTAATTTTCCGGTCTAACTCTGCGTAATATTTAATAATTGTGTACTCCGTACGTGTTCCGTAACTATTGCCCCACACCCCGTAGTAGGTAACTAACTGACAAATAGTTATTTAGGTAATGAAGCCTAGGACGATGCATGCCCTGTCCGTTGCCCTCTCGGAGTTTAGCAACCTTGCGCAAAACTCCACTTTGGGTAACAAGGCGTACAGTTACTCTGGTCGTCAGTTATCAGGATTCGGGTGGCGACGCTCGCTGAATCACTGCTGGAAGGCCAGTGAGGGTGGTCAGTCATTATGGGTTTTGCGAGGAGGCGGGTTTTGAGGGGTAACGAGTAAGAGAAGGGAGCAAAGAGGAGGGGAGAAAAAAAGAAAAAACCAGGTAGAGAAGAAGAAACCGAGCAGGAGGGGGAGGGACAACGCTTAGTTTTTAAAAGGATAACTTCTCCAGACTATCCAAGACTCTGAGCAACTCAGACTATTTGCGCCGAGAGGTTAATCTAGATAACGACAGCTAAATAATAGCTGAGACTTGAAGCCACAAATGCATGCGATTGCAGGGCGGATTCTGCGGCTCTGGGGCCTTGAGGGGGGGAGGGGATTCGTCCTTGACTAGGGCATTTTGACGGAATGCTACCTTTTCTTAGTTCAACAAGCCACTCTCCACTCCGCCTAATTCTGGACAAACTGGCGCAGCCATCTCTCGAGGTTCTCCTGAAACGGTGTATCTAGTCAGGCCTATCCCTCTTCATCGGGTCAATGGCGAGAGAATTATCTCAGCGTAACATTCCTGCGGTGCTTAAGGTTGCGTTTTCTACCTAGCACGCACCCCCAGGCCTGTTCGTATCCATTGTTTGTGGGGAGGAGGATAGGAATCGGCGGGTCATCTCCTATCAGCATTGACAACCCAATTTCGAGGCTTGAGGAAACAGAACATAAGCATACTCTCAATGCGGATTATATTGGGGCCTTTATGCTACAAGAGCCCCAGTCTTCAGACCGCTACCCATCGGCAACGCAGAAATCACGCATTATTGCACTCGTGGAACCATCAGAACGAAGAGCCATCTCAAACGCTTTCCCATGCACAGTCCATTGCGACTTCATTTTTGGCTTCCCTGATTGGCAATTAGGGCGCGCGCTTTTCCGTTCCCCTGTCCTGTGATCTGGGGTAAATTAACCCCAGGATACTCTCACTTAGAAAGGGGGGGGTTAATAAGGGAAATTATCGGCCAAAAACCGACTGATATTGCTAACTAGGATTACCTGGCCAACAGGACATCAGAGCAGGCCTAACAGTTAGCCAGGGTTACATAGACCCCAGGCGGGGAGTTTCTTGGGCCTTGATTATTATTATTATCCGAGGGTTTTTTGCGCGGGCTGGTTCTGACTTCTATGCTCAATCAGATGCGAATATCTGCATCTGCTACCCACATTTGCAGTCCAGGATGAAAGAAAACGGAGGACATCTGATATTTTAACCTCAAATCTATACGGAATATGGCACTGGTTTTTTTCCCAGACAGAGGAAGCGAGTCGACTGCGGTTGTGCTCTCTTCTCTTTTCAAAGCTTATCCAGACTAGAATATGGACAGATGGTTTGCACAAATTGAACATTCGTGGAAGGCTGCCGCCTCCTTGCCCTCTCTACCCGATGTGGTTCATTACAGCGTTGATTCGTCTGCTCCATGGGTGGCCATGCAATCACCACACCTTGACACGGCAACGACCATGTTTCGAGTCGAGATTTTTTAGTTCATGTCTGGCGTCAGTTCGTATGTCTCCTTTCCAGCAAAGTTCCACTTCGTTCTTGTACACTGAGCCCGCTCTAATTCCGTGCTTAGTTTGTGAAGGCCCAGTAGAGGGACCTCATATCCCGATTTACCGATCCGCAAATGGATGCCAGTTCGCCATTAGGCAGTTGAAGGAAACGCTGGAAGGCCCGTGCCATCAACTTGCTCCATAGGGAAGGATCCGCAAAGAGGGGGACAGGGGTGAATAGACTTGTACAGCCATTCCCCATGTGAGGGCAAGCACTGCTGAAGAGGGCTTCCAATACAACGTTGCCGTGGTGGACTGTCGTCATTCTACAAGCCATCACCATGCTTCCTCGCCAGCTAAGAACCGTAAATTCCAAGTTACCTCAACCGAGTCCCTCAAGGTGCTACCCGAGCATTTGGACACTCTGGTTGTCTCATCATATCATCTCAAAGGGACTTTTGGCCAGAAAACCCGTGGGATGAGGCTTATACCCGTCTCCCAGACATAAAACAAGTTGACCAATTCAGGTCAGCTGTTTAATACTCTAGCATGCCAGCTGGAGGAAGTGTTACAATCTCTCAGACTGAATGCATGTCCTTTCTACGCTATAAGAGCAGAGAGAGAATGCAGAAAAATATTTCTCTGAGCCATTGGACCGTCGTATTGTTCAGCCTTTGTTGACACTTGACAGAATGTTACGTCGGCGCCTCTATCCTTCTTTCATGTTGGTGTTTGTCATCGACGCTCTGGATGAGTGTGATAGCGATGAAGACATTCAAGGGATCCTTCCCAAATTCAGCCAGCTGAAAGATCCCAGGATTATCCAAACTACTGGTGTTTATGCCTAGCAGGCCGGAACACCTCTTTAGGTGTGGATTTTAACAGGATATCTGATGCTTTCACCACGACGAAGGACTTTATAAGATAATGACCCTTAGCGAAGGGAAGGATAAAGATGAAATCACTGAGCTCTTTGAACACGAGCATGCAGACGGAAATACAGTTTCAGGATGGCTGGCCTGCCCGGAAAGACTATTAAACAGCAGATTTTAAAGTCTGATCGCTATTCATATATGCTGCAACCCTTTGCCAATTCCTCGGTGCCGCAACTTTGGAGAAATTGGCAAATTTACGTCTAGATACAATTAGCGGTGACGAGTTTACTGGCAACCCTGCGTAGCGGAATTTCGACGAGCATGCATACTCGGATCTCCACCTTTTCTGTTGCCAACGAGAATGAAAAGGAAAATGTGGAAATATACGTTTTTTTCGGGCAGTTTTCGGCAGGCTTTTGGACCAATTTTATTTGTTATTTGGTTTCAATTCGCATTGCAGGCTGTTGTCTGTACCGACGAGAGATATTGATGACACGCTAAGAGATCTTTATTCACTCTTTTTGGTGTCCGGAAGAGCGAAGATGAACCTATTCAAATACTCACTTCATCTTTCGTTTTCTGATTTTCTACTCAACCGAGAAAGATGTCCAGCCGCATTCTTGGTTGATGGCAAGGAAGGCCATACCGAGCTCACGGAGAGATGTTGTGAAGCACATTACCAAGGGATATATATATTTGTGGACTAAAACTCCGAGTAACGTAAGTGACCACCTACTGGAACACTGTTCCATTCCAACCACCTAACACCATCAAATCATTCAATATGCCTACCAAATCAAAAGATCAAACTTCCAATCAGGAAGGGAGGCTTCTTTTAATCATTAGAGTTTATGAAACTAAGCAATTTTCAAGCATGTGAGTGATTGTTAAAGTGTATGATGTTGCTTCTTCAAACCTATTTTATTGACTACAAAGTCGAACTATACATGTGAATTCTCAACAAGGCCATTAAACGCTGATCTCTATAGAAGAACAGTTATAATAAAATAAACTTTATCTTTAATAATTATTCTCAAATACAACGTTAAGTTGTATTAGACTTTCATAAAAATTTACCTGTTAGATTAGATAATTAAGATTAACAAAACTTATTAAATTATTAATAAATCAAATTTAAATGTAGTTATAGTTAATTAGAATGGATGTTTTAACAAGTATATAAAGTTTAAACAGTTGAAAAATATCAGTTCTTTATTCTAAATAATTATAAAAGTTATATAAATTCAATATTATATGAACTATTATATTTCTTACTATATTACTATATATATTTTATTATTTGTAGTTATAGATATATTTAAAATAAAAGATATAAAAAGTCAAATTAAAACATATAAACAGCTTTATATTAAATAATAATTAAAAATTAAGTTCTTAAGTTCATATGTTACAGTTAGAAAGATGTTATAAAAATTATAACTATTAGAAATCAATTCAGAGTCACGGACTTAGTATCATATAATTTAATTTTTCTTTATATATATTTATATGTTTAATCATGTACATCAATCTCTTTAACATAGCTTATAAATCCAAATCTCATAAGGGTATTATTCTGACGGCAGACGAAGGATTAACTAGCTAGGGCGCAAGCTGCTCAACCGGCCGTGAAGAGAATAGCGGAGAATTCAAATCAATCTACTGAAAAGTGAGTATCAGCACACTGTAGAAAATGTGGCAAGACAGGACAGAGAGCCATAGGATGAATGAGTAATGTGTATATTTTTACCATGTAATTCCATATAACTGTTGCTTAATTTGAATTTTTTAATAATATAGGTTGGCTTGGCTGATGTTACGATGAGGTGATAGGTGATCGTCACAAGTTCATGTCATCTAACTACTGGAAAGGGAGCTAGAACCCCGACATCGGCGATAAAAGCCTGTGAATTCCTCGAGATCCCATGCACGGCCTTCATTCTTACCAAAATATCCAAGGGTGTTCAGTCAGTCGGTAGCAGAACATTCAGATCAAAAAGTAGCAACATTAGAGTAATGGCTTCCCCATAACAGATTGAAATTCTTAGAGACGAAGGATAGTTTCCCACCCCGTGTGAGGCTAGATCCCATCATTTTAATACTTCCTGCTGCCTGTCACTGTCGCAGCTACAGGACTTGGGACGTAGAAAGCAAAACCCATCATCTAGGTCTTTCCCGAACATCTACCAATCGTCTTCGATGTTCAATATAATAATCCTTCCAGTGAACCACGGCTTGGGTGAGGGTTCCTTGTATCACTTTGACGTGGGAGCCCTTGAACAAGATTTAGAGAATATTCAACCTATTCCACGTTCTACCCTTGCTCAGTTGCAGAAAATGGTGTTTAAAAGTGTTTCAAGA